ATTTTTGTGCCCTGATGTCACCTTTAATGCATTTAACCAATGCAACAGAGAATGGGTCTGCTCCTTTCCTAAACAGCAGCCTGCAAATAATCCCATAGTCATTGTGGCCTCCTGAGATTTTACTTTGCAAACATTTTAATCAGTATATATATGGCATTTTTTGAATTTGCATACTATACCAGTTGCTTTAGGAGCCACATGGCTTTGAAGAGGTACATGGGAGTAGGAATTCTGTGTCACTCTAGGTAGACTGCTGGCATCAAAACAGCAATAACCCTTTCTTGATATCTCTATGATTCATAGATCACCAGATGGTACTCTTTGGGGGAGGAAAATGTTGCTACATCAAGCCTCAGTCACAGGACTTGCCTGGGTTTACAGAGGTATGTTCACATGGACAGTGGGTTGGAGCTGAGCATATATCTGTAATGCTAGCTACCCCACCTGGTTCTGGTCTGTTCAACTGCAACACTGCTGACAGAGATCTGTATATCTCTTTCCAGCAAGACAATGGATAAACAGCCTCCTGCTCTCTCGATGTGCAAGCACTGTCATCCATGTGGTTTATAACCGTGATTGTCTAAAGGAAAAATCCATAGAAATGACCTGTTTACTGAAATCCCACTTGAAGTGTGATGCTAGCTATTTATCCAATGGAATTTAAATAAGAGAATGTTATCTCCTAATAAGAATAAGCCAAAGTGTTACAGTTTGACGCTACAGGACGGCATTGGCAGCTCTGAAAATCCACTAATTGTCTTGATACTGAACCGACAAGATACAAACTACTTTCCTGCTTGTATTTGGCACAATACGGTAATGTAATAGATAGGATATAATCATCCTTCTCAGAAGACTAGGAAAGGACAATCTTCCATTTGGTATCCTTACTAGAAGGTACAGCAAAGTGAGGAGAGGGAGTGAAGGTAAGCACCCCGGAAGGAAATGGTACCCCTTATTCTGGTCTTATCAAAATAACTTTGCTGTTTGGAAGTTTTGAGTATAGAAAATGGTGATGTGTGCTTCAGAAACTGGACAACCTTTTGTCCTCCATGAGCCTATTTGATTTTTCTTTTTTGGAAACAGCTTTTGCTATGTAGCCCAGACTGATCTTGAACCTTCCTCCTCCTCCAGTCTCCTGACGTTTTGCTGGGATTACACGTATGTGCCACCACATCCAAAAACACACGTGAAGTCACATCACTCTTTATCGTCACTAAAATTCAGCTGGACTTGGGTCTCTCAGTAAGAGGACACAGAATGGTGGTTTACCTGAACACTCACTGCCAGAGAGGTGCTACTTTAGTAACTGCATCAGGAAGTCCATTCTGAGCTGCAAGCCCTTGAAACAGCTCTAGGTATACCACTGTTGGAAAAGAGTGACCTCAACGGAAAGAGAGAAGGCCCAAACTAAGCCAGGCAAACAAAGCAAAGCAGCCTGCCAGATGTTCTCACTGCATGGTACACCGCATCTCAATGCTTCCAAGGTTGGCAGTAGTGATGGAGAAATGCTGGATTTTCAAATCAACAAGCTCTGTTTTAACTTTCTCTTCATCTGTACTTTAAAAATGTTTTAGAGTCAAAACATACATGTGCTGGAATTTGTAGTTTCAAGCATATGCTTTTAGGAAGAATTTTATGAACTATGAATAAAATCTATAGAGCCCATAATATGGGTTTTAGAGTGTCTACTGTTAATTACTGCCTGGAATGAAATTTTCAGCTTAATCAGATATCCTATAACACTTAACCACAGCTATGAGAATGTTAGTGCTAAATGCTTGGTGTTAAACCCATATCAAGTATGACTGCTTGTGAATATATGGAAAGGCACTTCAGAATCTTGCTGGAGATTTTCCTGTAATTTTGAGCATCTGCTTAACTGGACATGAATTTTCTTCAACAGAGTTGTAGTTTAGTGAAGAAAATAACCTCATTTTAAAAATGTTGGTCATTACTCATAGGGGTAATATAATAATAGCAAAGCTTGTGAGGGGAGACATGTGCCACTTAAGCTGAGTACAAGGGGCAGGGGCAAGGGCAGTAGCCACCCTTGACCAAGACAACAGAACCAGCCCTGCCCAAACACCATACCTGGCTCACCCTGCCTAAAGCATCATACCCTGCCTTCACTCCAAATGCCAATGGTTCAAATACCACGACGAGGGGTGTGTGGAGGGCTAGCGGCTGATGGCTTAGCAAAGGGTTGATAAAGAAATGACGTAGGGTGAAAAGTACCATGGGAGGGTGGAAGAGGCACCTGCCGGAAAGCTGGAAGTTCCGCAAATAACATCAGCAGCTTGCTGAGGGTCTCCACTGTGGCGACCTGAGGCAGGATGCTGAAAGCATCCATAGCCTATGCTGGCCTGACTCCTTAGTTCTTGGTGTTGAGAAAACCTAAAGAAATCTCCAGTGGTCAGGTCTTACATATTAACATGGTTGATTTATTTACATAAGTAGAGCCCCTCTATGAAAATTTTAAGGAAAAGCTCAAGTAGCATCATAAATTACAAAATCCCTCAAGTCTATTTTTTGGGGGACAACAGACAAAATGCTGACTTTAGAGTGACTAACGGTATTCTAAGTTTATGGTATACATGCTCACTGTGTGTTGTGAAGGTTCAATAAGTGAAGTATCTGCACTGAAGGCCTGGGATGAAGATCTGTCACCATCACAAAGAGATTATTTTGGGTCTGATTTCTTTCTGAAATAAGTTTTTTTTTTAATAACAAAAGGAGAAATTACCACTAATTCTTCATTTCCAAGAAAACCCGTCTTAGTTGAAAATGTAAATGACATTGATCTATATTTATACTCCAGCAGGAAACGGGTTGGGTTAGGAAACTATCCAGAGGCCATGGGTACTTTTGCTCCTGCTGGCAGTGGTAACTCATACCCACAGGAGCAAACGGGCACATTAGCACTGAGCGAGGGGATCTTGGTGGGATTAGGACCACAGTGTGCTTATCAGTAGTAGACAGCTCTGTCTCAACTGACGCTGGAGCGTAATTTAGTCACCATCGATCCCTTTGTGAGAAGGGAGAAGGAAGCGAGACGCAAGCCGTCACTAACGAGAGCCATCCTTGCTTAAGTTACTGGGGTAATCAGTTCCCTCTGGAAATAACTGGTGAACCAGTGAAAAACAACATACCTCCTGCATCTGAGAAACACAGTCACGGAGATGGCCATGAAACCAAGACATACGTTCCTTCCTGTGCTTTGTTCCTTTTTAAGAGATGACACTTTTCAGCTTGTAATGAACTATCAGAGTGAACCAAATGGGTGTTTTTAAAAGCCTGTGAGTGCAGGCTCTACCACAAGGAGACCAGTTAGCCTTTTGTGTGAGAATCAAGCATCCACTTGCAGAAGCATTAAGTTGGAAACATGAAGGCTCTGCAGGAGTTTTAATTGGACTATTTTTAAGGCTTCATGTGAACACCCCCCTCCACTCCAGATTGTTATTTACAAAGCACTTTGTTTTTTAAATATCTTGCATACAGAAAAGAGAAGACTTAGAAGGCATAGGACATGATTACAAGGGTTTTCTGTTTTATACCTGTTTTAATACAGCCAAGTAATACCAGCCTTTCAAATATGCCCAAAGCTGGCAGCAGCCTCAGTCAACATTCATGCTCCTGGTCTACGCTACAGAGGACGTGTTGGGATTTTAATTGAAAATATTTGAGGGTGTCTGGACTGTGTTTGTGCTTGTGTGTGAATAGAGTCAGGCACACACAAGACAGAGCTAAAACCAATAAGGAGCCATTCTTTAAATATACCAACACTACGGAGGGTCTATCTACAGGCTAAAGGACAGTGCTGGGGGAAGAGAGTGGGTCTTTAAGAATGTAAACAAAGATACATCATGAATCAGGTTGTCAGAGGTGATTTGGGGATAATCAGAATTCCCATTCAGACCACATCTGAAATTTTTCCTCAACATAATGGTCAAGAGTGAGGGGGGAAAGCATTGTGCTAGAAAATTTTGGCAAGGATGCTGATCGTGGCTTTTGTTTTGTAACATTCTCAAGTTCGGCTTGGCAGAACAGATCTGGAGCTTTGCTGCAAGCCCTGGTGTGCTGTTACAGCAGCACACACCACAGTGGGAACAAGTGAGCAATCTTGTTGTCACATCTGCCTCCTCTTCCAAGGTAAAAGTAAACCTTCAGAAACTGTTCCAGACCATTTAAGTTTCAATAGCACCCTCTCTTAAAAATATCCTGAAAACTGAGTTAAAACTGTTTTGGAGGGTGTGTGAATTCACCAGACTGTTTCTGCAAGTCTGCATTCACAAGAACCTATCTTGGAATAAATAAATAAGTAAATAAATAAATAAACAATTAATTAATTAATAACAAAAACATCAAAAACCCCAAAACAAAAATGTCATGGAAAGTTTTTAATAAATTGCATTACGCAGTCAACTATGATTTCTGTGAATATGAGAATTTTCTGAGAGCTGAATCTATTTATTCAAATGTTCCTCTTTTACCTTTGTAAAGAGATTATTTAATAATGCTATGTAAATAATGAAAGTTTAAGTATCATTCCTGGGTGAAATCAAAGCACAATATTTAATCAGTCCTTTGCTGCTGGCTTCCCGCCCCCAAGTTAGTGGGAGAGTTCCTTTGATTTTAAACTTTCTAATCAGGCAGATTGTATTTGCTACATATCTTTAAATTATACTAATAATTATCCATCAAATGTGACATAATCCCATTAATGACTTTCAAAGCAGGATGATGTCAGTGACAGGGCAATGCTGTTGGAATTCTACTCGGCTGACTCTGAATTCTTACTAAATAAACTTAAGATACAATCAGTAATACGCGTAAGATACAATTAGTATTATGCTTTAGATAACAGTACAAGATAGTTCAAAGGAATTTCCCCAAGACCTGGAAATTAAATATTAAGTCATGCATACATCAGTCTATTTGTTATGTCTCCGGGAGTCTAAACGACTGGAGAGGCATCTTTGGCACTCACACAGACACACCGGATGGATGCCAGGTGTGAGGGACACCGCCTATGAGGACTGCTATCTGAGTGTTTTTGGAAAGAAAGCCCCAGGGGAAACATGTCCAGGGATAGAGAATGAGCTCCGCTCACACTTTAGAAGCCTGAGTTAGTGCTTGGGTTATCTGACCACACAGCAGTACAATTTTATCCTGAGGAAAATCAACCTCGTGCATGAAAACTAGACTCAAGGTTAAAGTAATCTTCCCAACTGAGTACAGCGCTGGTATCTGAAGAAGCCCCTCCTGAGAACCCCAGAGCCGCTCCACTGTGACTACTGGGACAGATGACAATGTCCCGTCACCTGAAGGGGGAAATACATCGCAGAACATTTAAAATATATTGCATTACAGAACACTGCGACCGCGGCTAAGTGCTGGGACTGTGGAGAGCCCTGTGCAGGCAGGAGAGGCGGCAAGTCTGGCTGATGTTTGCCCTTCAGCTGACATACGTGCGAGGTGCAGCGATGGGATTGCAAGGAAACATGGTCACCTCCTCGGGGTTCCTCTGCTAGGATCCCAGAGCCGGCTTAAAGGCACAGCCTCAGGACTGAACAGAAAACAAACTTCCCAGCGTAAGTTCCCGGTCTTTCCTCCCCATCCCACCCTGGGACACAGTCCAGTGTTTCTGGGGAATGCAAACGCCACGGTCATGGTGCACCAGTCACTTGTTGAGTTGGGCGAGGTGCAGCTCTGGCCCCCAGGAACTTGGGGAGCATTGGCTCCCCCATGGACCCGCAGAAGGAGGTCTCTTACCTGCATGTGTCCCTGGTACATTCTGCTCCGGCGTCGTCAGGGCTCCCGAGGCTGCAGGGCTGCTTTCCCGGCGGGCTCGTAGAGAGGAGCAGGGCGGGCAGCGCGGTGAGGGCTCTCCGCGGGGCGCCCGGGCCACCAGCTACAGCGAACAGGCGGGCGAGAGGGCGGCGGGGCGAGCTGCGCGCTGCGGAGCTGTCCTCCACGCGGGTGC